CAGGAGCCCAGTTTCTTTGGAAAATTTCCTTCACTGCCACTGCAGGGATGTCACCTCAACTTCGGCAGGAGCTCAGTTTCTCTAGCAAATTTTCTCCACTGCCTCAGCAGTACTGTGATCTATACTCCCGCAGGAGCTCGGTTTGTGTCTAACCTTGCATTCACTGTTAAAGCAGTGTTACACCCCTGCTCACACAGGAGCTCAGTTTCTCGGGCTAATTTTCTCCACTGCCGCAGCAGTGATGTTCCCTCTGCACCTTTAGGAGCACATTTCTGATTAAATCTCACCTTCACTGCAGCAGCAGCAATGCCCTCGTCCAATGATGCAAGAACCCTCCCCGTCCAACAAACTAACCCCCTCCGAACAGCACACTATCAGCCTTGCAATCTTTAATTTGTGGGGGGCCGTCCAAGGCTGCTTATCTGATTAAGTGTAAGTGTGAACTTGTGAAATTATGTTTTATTAAAGTTCGAGAGGAACATGTTCAAATTATCTATCCAATCATCACATTCCAATCAGCAATCGACATGTCTACCCACTCAGTATGAGTGGAGGCCTATATATATATATGCAGTCGACCCACCATTTATGTACTACATTATGTAGTCAGGGTTTCCGTTGTCCGATAATTACCGGACATTGGCCAAAAAAAAAAAAAAAAAAGAAATGTCAGACAAAATAGAATCAGGTCTCAGGTCAAACTGTCTGATTAAAATGGCCTAATAATCCCACCCCCTAAAACAAGCTGAATTTGAGAATAAGTCTAAAATGTATAAAGCAAAAATACCCCGACTGATCAGAAGGATTATTTGCCATTTTACAAGCATTGAGTTTGCGGAAACCGCTCGTCTTACCGATGCCTTAAGCCTGCGACGTGATGACCTCGCTGTCATGACAGTAGTGTTGCTTTCGTCAACGAAAATTATGACTAAATATAGTCGTCAACGAACCTTTATCACGTGACGAAAACGAGACGAGACGCAACGTAAATGCTGGTCGTGTGACGATGACTATAACTAAATGTATAATGCAATATCGTTGACGAATAAAAACGAGACTAAATGTGGTTTACACAAATAAAAACTATGCTAAAATATCTCTTCATTTTCGTTGACCAAAACGAGACGAGACGAAATGTTATTTAACGTTATTTCGTCTCGTACTTGCATTATTATGCAGCATTTCTGTTTCCTGTGTCACTTCAGGGGCTGCATCAGATCGCACTGTGCAAACCTTTGCGACTTCAGATCCTCAAGCCCCACTCGCGGCATTATTTAGAAGAAGCAGCTGCGTGACTTACAGCTGTTTCATACACACTCCGTGTGTAGAGTGTATGCAGGAGCAGCGCGCGTTATTGCTTTCACATGTGCTGCGTTTGCAGTGTGCAACTGATCTACGGCTGTACCACAATCACAACATTTATCCTCTATTTTTTATTTCAAATCAGTATTTTAGCCTACATCCATTGTGTCGCGTTGTTGAGGTTGCCTACTGTGTCCTCTGCTCTGCTGTTATGCACGCACCGCTCCTAGAGCGCGCGGTATGAGCACTAATCTATAAAACTGTATGGGTGCGGGAAAAATATGCACTGCAAACGGAGTATGTGTGAAACAGGCGTTAGCATAAACGACAACAAACAAAGTTAAGTCTGACACAGAGAAAAGGATTCGTCTTTGGGAGAAAAAGAAGAAATGACATTTGGAAAAAACTTTCATTTCATCTTGTGTGTAGGCTACTTCTAACATGTTTGGTTGGTAAATAGCCTATGTTGTAAATTCAATTCAGAGCGTCTTCTGTGTCTGGAATGGATGTATTCTTGAGTCTATAAGGTAACAATAATATAAGAAGATAAGATTGTTTGAAATGGGTTTGGCTAAAAGAAAAATTTGGTTTCGTCTATAGGCTAGCCTACTACTAGGTAGGCTACTTATTGACTAGGTTAAATAGACTTGCCTACTAAAAATACACTGTAAAAAACGATTTTTTGGTTAAGTAAATACTAGTGAAAAAACCCAATGTAATTTACTTGAAAAAGTTAGTTCAGGCAAGAATTTAAAAAAACTAAGTAAATTCCATATCAGTACTTATTTCAAGCGAGTATAAATGAAAGTGTAATATCAACTCAATAAAATTAAGTAAAAATTACTCAAGTTTTCTGATATTGGGGTTCCCATCATGCACTGGACCTTGAATAATTAATGAGGTTCATTTTTCACTGGTTTCCAGCTGTATTTACACTGTTTTATCATTGATTTTTGTTTTCAGTATTAGTAAATTGCCATTTTGTGACATTTCGAGTAAATTTTTTGCTTAAAACGACACATTCAAACACAAAAACGATCCATCAAATGTTACGACCATTGTGTATTGTCTACCAAGTATTGAGGTGTTTGCATTCACATAAGGCTTAAAGTCTGACATGATGTATATATAAATTACTTAGATGATCTAAGTAAAGAACATACTATAAATGACTAATAAAATTCAAGATAATTTTTTTAGTGAAGTGTAATACAAAGGCAAAGGAAATCGGTATTAATCAACCTTTTACAAGCCGAGTTAAAATTACTTATTTTTTGTAAAGTTTACTTAATTTCACATTCCAAGTAAATTTAACTTAAAGATTTCTAATTAAAGCTACTGATAAATATGTTTAGGTTTTTACTTGGCAAATCTTTGTAAATTTACTAGCATTTTCTGAGTGAGATCGTTTAGCAAGGTTTTTTCAAGTAAATCCTACTCCAAATTTTTTACAGTGTAGACTAAAATACAATTTTCATTGACTAAAACTAGACTATGTCTTTCGTCGACTAAAACTAGACTAAAATGTCATCGGTTTTCGTCAACTAAAACTAGACTAAAATGTCATCGGTTTTCGTCGATTAAAACTAGACTAGACTAAAAAGAGCATGAAGTGACTAAAAATAATAAAAACTAAAATGTCAGCTTGACACAAAGACTAGACTAAAACTAAAATTAAAACAGGCCGCCAAAAACAACACTACATGACAGCACTCCGTGTCAATGGAGGATTGCATTTCTCCACAGCCTGCGAAATCCTCATATGTGTTATTTCAACAAAATTTATACAGATTAGACCAGGGTCAAGACGAAGCGGCCAAGTCCCAATGCCCACAGTGCCAATGCCCACATCAGCTGGATAAAACATCCAATTTAATAAGAATCTTGTACTTTGCCTCATCTTGCTGTGCTGTGAGGAATAATACTATCGTAATAATCCTGGAAAAGTTACATCAAAAGTGCTGGTAGTTTCAATTCGAGGAGCACAGATTCATCTGATGTAGTAAGTTATTTATTCTTAATTGTTGCGCATATTTTCCTTCTCTCTGAGTAGAGGTGTAATCTATTCGTAACAGCACGTTCAGAAAAAAAGCACAAAATGACAACCACCACCATAAACAGATAAAAAAAAAAAACCCAGCTGTAACGCTTTTGGTTTTATCTTTACCTTTCCTGTCTTGTCAACCTGGTCTCATCCCAAGACGTCATATAACTGACGTTTTGGGACGTCTTTTGACCATACGTCAATATTCGCCTTTTTAGGGCCCCCTTATACGTCGGTAGATGAGGTTATGGGATCCTAACTCTACCCCATACCTAAACCTAACCCTAAACCTAACCCGTCACCTAACTGACGTTAAAGGTAAAGCGTCAGTTGTATGACGGCCCGGGATCGCCATCTACCGACGTTTAAAGGGTTAGTTCACCCAAAAATGAAAATTCTGTCAGTATTTACTCACCCTCATGTTGTTCCAACCCCGTAAGACCTTCGTTCATCTTCGGAACACAAATTAAGATATTTAGGATATTAAAATCGCTCCTGCATACAGTCCATAGGCTTCTTGAGGGACTGGCTCTTGCTGTCCTCGAAAAGTAATTGAAGACATCGGTAAAATAGTCCAAGTGACTACAGGGGCTCAATCTTAAGTTTATCAAACGACGAGAACACTTTTGTGCACAAAAAAACAACAAAAATAACGACTTTATTTCAACTATTCACTTCCTTCTCCATAAGCCTATAGTCCGTTAACGTAGTGTGATTGCGTAGAGCTACGTCACACGTAGGCTCACTATTGGTCGACGCTGGTCATGTGTGTGTGATGCGTGTGACGTACAATAACAGAAGCTTACGCTATTAAACTAGTTAGCTGACTCGCGCAGAGGGAGAAATAAACGAATAGTTGAAATAAAGTCGTTATTTTTGTTGTTTTTTTGCGCACAAAAGTGTTCTCGTCGTTTGATAAACTTAAGATTGAGCCCCTGTAGTCACTTGGACTATTTTAACGATGTCTTTTATGACTTTTCGGGGACGGCAAGAGCCAGTCCCTCAAGAAGCCTATGGACTGTATGCAGGAGCGATTTTAATATCTTAAATATCTTAATTCGTTTTCCGAAGATGAACGAAGGTCTTACGGGGTTGGAACAACATGAGGGTGAGTAAATACTGACAGAATTTTCATTTTTGGGTGAACTAACCCTTTAAGGGGGCCCTAAAAAGGCGGATATTGACGTACGGTCAAAAAACGTCCCAAGACGTCAGTTATATGACTTTTTGGGATGAGACTGTGTTAGTCTTGTCAGCATCACTTTTTGACTTAATTTCACTCCAGGTTTAGGTTAATCTAATCTGTAATTAATTAGGTGCTTAAGTGGTGGCAGAGATAATTACAGGTCAAAAGAAACAGAATCAATCACTATCCAGGTTTAGGGCCTCTCATGGAATATACATGGTAAACTTGAATACAGAATACAAACTTTTCAAATAATCCTTCATGCTCTCGCTTAAATGCTTCTTGCTTGTTTCATGATCACAAATAAAAACAATATAAAAAAAACAAAAGCATCTCTACCACTTTAAGAAGCAGCATGTTTTAATGTAGTCTCAATTTAAACAACACCTCAATGTTGGATGTGTTATTTGCCAGATAACTTGCAGAGCACATTTGTGCATTAAGAAACAATATGGAAGAAAAGCTTACCAAAGACGGTGCGTGCTGGCACAGACTCCCGGTTCAGCCAGAAGGAGACCTGAGAGAGAATGACGGTCATTATGCAGGGGAGATACGTCTGGATCACGAAATAGCCAATTTTCCTTTTCAAGTGGAAATATGTTGTCATCACTACATATTCTCCTATATAAGAAATGAGAAAAAGAGAAGAGAGAGACCATAATAGAGATTATTAATTATACACACATAGACTAAAATATTCCTTATTTATCGCAAAATCATTATTATTTATTTACCGAAGATCATACAAGCAAAGTAAATGAGATATAGAGAGATATCTCAGAGTAGGATGGACAATTTGCTGTGTTTAAATCACATAACATGTTAAAAATTTTGAAAATTCAAAATAAAGGTAGGAGACTTTTATCTCATTTAATCTCATTGCCGTCTAGAAGAAACTAAGATATTCAAGATATTATTTTCTTCTGAGAAAAAAAGAAAGAAAAGTAGATTAGTGTGATGGAATGGGTAGATTAAAGGTGTGAGGACTCAAGTACAGAAATAACAGGTAGTATTAATTAAACTAACAAAACAAAACAAAACTCCATCATGGGGGGAAAAAAGAGAACGGTAACAGGAAACACAAGGAACTTGGACAATGAACTAGCACAGAGGGGAACTATTGCACAAAAGTAGAATTAAGAAAGCCAGGATAACTGAACAGTCGCGGTTTGACCTAGTCTGATCAGTGCATCCTGGCTTAATCCGTTGCACGTTTGCTGAGCCAGGATGAGAACGCGCGGATATGTCAAGCCAGGTGTATATAGTTTGGATAAATGCACGTTCACGGCATTCTTAAAAAGAGCGCGAAATCGATCACAGAATCACCGATCCAAAAACGGACAAAACGCGTGCGGCATACTTTTCACCTAATGAGCAACAGCTTCTTATGGAAACGTACGAAGAAGTGAAACATATAATATGTAAAAAAGCCAATACAGATGCTGTAATAAAACAAAGAGAGAATGCCTGGCAAACAATAGCAGACCAATTGAATGCTAAGTCCATAAATAACCACACTCTAAAAAAAAATGCTGGGTTGTTTTAAGCCAATTTTGGGTCAAATATGAACAAACCCAAATGTTGGATTTAAAAATGCAATTAATAAATGTTACCCAACAGTTGGGTTTGTCCATATTTGACCCAGAATTGGTTTAAAACAACTGAGCATTTGAGTGTGCAGTGCTCCACTGTAACCCTCATAATTACAATTTGAGGAGTTACTTGTCATTTAAAAAAATAATTGTATATTTTGCCTTAAATGTGACCAGTGGACATATTTAACATGAAGAATAGTATATATATTTATAGTATATTATAGTATATATATTTAGTTTCTTTTATGTCTATTATCTCTTTAATCTTTTTACTCTTATCTATTTCTATGTTTTGTTTCTAATTGATTTAATGTAATCTATAATCAGATATTTTGCTCTATTTTTATCCATCTAATCTATTTTATCGTTTGTATCTATTCCTCTTAAAGAACAATGTCTGGCCAAAAAAGGACTTGGCAGAAAGTCTAGATTAAATAGGCTACAAGAATATTTTGCAGGCTGGTAAGTGACTTGTCTGCAGAGAACATGGTGACATGTTTGCTGACATTTAATCGTCTGTAAAAAGTCAGTCTGACTTTGTAATCGTCTGACTTAAAAGTCATATATCTGGTACGGGGGTGGCCCTCCAACCCAAGACTTCACCACAGCACAGCACCACAGGCCTATAAAGGGAAGCCAGTGATTCCAATGTGTCTGCCCTATCTCGGATGACTCTTTCATGCCTGAATGTTAGTCTGAGTATTAAAACTTCCTCATCAACTACATCATCCAACAAAAGGCAAGCCATTGTAAATAGGAAAAACAAATCTTTAGTCCATATACTATATATTGACCTTGTTGTTACATGAAACCACATTACGACTTAATGAGCCATTTCTCATTATCTCATCAACTGCAATAAAATAGCCTATTATTTTTTATCATTCAACTATACATTTCTACTCTATTTTTGCATAGATATACATAGTCTTTCTATTTCTCATATTGTATAGTATAGTTCTTTTGCATTGTGTTGGCATTTATTGTGGACAGCAAAGTTATAATTGCTCAGGAAAATCTGCTTTCCTCACTGCAGGTGTATGCCAATAAACACTTTGAATCTCAAATAATATATTCATCAAACCTCTGACAGTGAAATGAACAGCAGTAAATAAACAAGCAGTTATTTTTAATAATAACTAAAATAGCAGTACGCATTCTTAGATGAATGGCAGTATAGTATTTTAATGCAGGAGCATAAAGTAACTAAAACATTAATATCAAGTAGGATTTAGGGAGGAACTAGTCGATAAATCACTAGGATTAATCTTAGCCTGGTTGTTAGCCTGCTCTAGAGCAGGCTAGCTGCAAAGTGTAAATCTCCATAGTAATTTAATGTAGATTAATTTAGCCTCCATTCGTGCAACCGAGTCAGGGCTAAATTCAGTCAGGATAACTGGAAAATCCCAGCTTAATCCCTTATCTTGCTTTTGTGCAATACCCCCCAGGACTGTAAACATAGGGAGACTAAATAAGGAGCAAACAAAAGAGGGTAACGAACAAAGCAGGTGGGGAAGATTAATCAACTATCAGGTAATGCGATGGGAGGGGCTAGACAATTGACAGGAGAGCACATGGCACAAGAAATACAAGACAAGCCATGTGCTCACAATAGCCCTCATTTATCATTCTTGCGTAGAAACAGCCGCATATGTTGGCGTAAGATTATGCTTAAACTCTTCTCACTGCCTGATTTATGAAGTTGTGCGTACCTTTGAAATCCAGGTGTACGCAATAGCTACCTGCCCTTGATAAATCCCGCGGCTGAAAAGATTGTCATTAAAATAACACGTGCCTAAATTTTGAAGACTCCGCTTCCCCCACGCCCTCATTTTACGCCATGGACACACAGAAGACGCCGGCAAAGAAGATAAACTTGTCTGACGTGCAGCCGAAATGACCTATCACAATGCATTATTTTTTAGCACGTCTTTTGAATTAGCATTCAATTTCGTATCACGTCACATAATTGCGGTGTACAATAGTAATGATGATGTGAAGTACCATTCATTCACATTAATAACTGCATTTTGTAATATTCTTCTTCTTATTATTATGATTTGTATTATTAATGACGCTTATCTTATTTAGAAGAAGAATGTAATTATTATTATTTGTATTATTATTATTATTATTATATGTAAAAGAAGAGGAATGTATTTTTTTATTATTTTGTCAGTCTGAAATATTTTTTGGTCATTGAAAGCCTTTCATTAGCGAACCAAGTCCATGCGCTCCCGCCGGGGATAACCCTGAAACGCCAGGGTAAAGTGCACAGGCTCGCAACTGAAGGAATGCTTACAAATCAAATGCTTTGGTAAAGTCACATAAATTAAACATTGAAGTCCATGTTGCACAAAAATAAATACTTAAGTTTATAATTACTATGTTGTTGTTGTTGTTGTTGTTGTTTTACAGTGATTTCATATCTTTTAGTTTGTGAGTGTGTTTTGTGGTGTTAGGAATTTTTCTGCGCATTTCTGCACTAACTCGAAACGTGCGTACACCACCTCCTGAGCTGGCGTAGGATTTGAGCGTGCCGTACGCCAACGTCCATATTGATAAATCATCAGTGTTGTGCAAGTTACTTCCAAACTGTAATACATTAGGTATTACTTGTTACTGTTATTTAAAAGTAATTCATTACCTTACAATATTACTGTCCCAGAATTGTAATGCGCTACATTACTCATGTATTACTTTTGAGTTACTTTCACCAAAATAACTAAGTAGAACTTAACTTTTGGGCTGTAACGATATGCAATATGAAACCGAAATCGCGATTCGCCACACGACTCAGATCAACGAACCTACAGAATCGCGACACACCTCTTCCAACTCCAGCGTTATTCTCCTTACAATCCATATCCAATGCTGCCTTATCTTTAAATTAGGCTATTAGTATTATTTGAAGTTAACATTATAAAATACGTAGACCTACACCACCAAACTAGTTGAGGATAAATTATTTAAAATTGGGGAAGTCCAGCATTATGGACATGATGACATTTGCAGTCAAAACTTGAAATAAAAATTCTCAGAAAATTCATGTATTGAAACGTATATAGGCTACTTCCTTAAAGGACTCCAGACATTAGACAAATATCAGTCTATGTTTTATTTTCAATATTAGGGAAAAGACGCACATTCATGCGTGACAAAAAAATAGGAGGCAAAATATATTTTTTGTAATTCTGTTAATTACACTGCGCAAATCGGATGAGGAAGGGTTGGCTCTCCAGTCTCCATAGAACTTAAAATATGCATTTTATTTTAGTTTTCGTGTTCGCATTTATGAGGAAAAAACAATGTTACAGACGCGACCGCTCTGAACTGGCACTAAAAGACTGCTTTAAAAATCACATAGTCTGTTGCCTTTAAGAAGTAAAAGCAGACAATACACTGTAATACAACTGTAATACAAGCCTCACTGAACATGTAACGAGTAAAATATTACTGAGAATTGATTAGTAATGCCTTACACTACTGCGTTACAGCAAAAAGTAATATGTTACTGTAATGTATTACTTTTGTAATGCGTTACTCCCAACACTGTAAATCATAAGTCACCGTGGTTTTGGGTGTACGCTGGAAATTCGGTGTTTTGATAAACGAGGGCCAATAAACCAGACTAAAGAAACACAGGACAAACTGGGAATGTCAGAGCTCTGTCACCAACCAGAATATAACCCAGACAGAAGTGACAGAACCCTGACATTATGCATTGCAAAACATTGTATTGTTATATTTTTCTTTATTTTTATTCTTTTGCAGCTTCATACTAAAATTCTTTACATTTATAATTTTTTCCTTATTATTCTAAAGAAAATTGTATTGACTGTTGTCTGTAAAAAACCCAGCCAGAGCCTATACTTGGATAACCCTTACATTTGCAGAATTTTCCCTATGCCACTTTTGTGATGTCTTGGCTGTGTGCTTATAGTCACTGTCCTGTTGGAAGGCCAGCCTTTGGCCCATCTAAGGTTGTGAGTTCTTTGAACCGGGCTTTTATTGGATATGTCTTGT